CGCCGGCTTCGGACGGCGACCGACGACGGCGAGCGGACGCGGTCCGACGACGGCGAGCGGACGGGGTCCGCCTCCTGCTAGCGGACGGGGTCCGACGCCGGCGAGCGGACCGAACAAAAAATTCAGGATCAGCAAGAGGTTTACTTGCTTCGCTGGTCCGACGACGGGGTACGGCTGCCGTCCAGTGCCCGGCGAATTATCCTGACGAGATTGGTCCGGTGGCCGGCGAGTTTGGCTGTCGTCCGGTGGCTGTGGTGTTTGTGGGGGGTTGGTGGTCGGGACTCGGGTAGTGTGTAAGTTGTTTAAAAAACCATTTCAGCGAATAGAATATAAAGAAATATTTGGAGGGCAAAATTGTCATTTTAGTGTTTTTTACGGGCGGCAAATAGTAATTGCCCGGGCGGCAAATAGTAACCCTCTTATTTATACGGGAAAAGGGTTGTCACGTCAGGGGAGCTAGAAAATCTCGACTAAGCGATTCCTTTGTATGACATATATAAATAAATTTATACTGAATTCATAAAATTGTAAATTTGGGTTTTGTTATCTTCATTAGACCATTTACTTAAATCGGTTCGTTTAGTTTTTTCAGCAATTCGAATGAGTTTTTAATAAATAAATAAATAAAATGAGACAGTCGGCAGTCGCGGATTTTCAGAATTTTAAAATTCGATCCATATAAAACCTTATTTTGCATTTGTTCTGTTGGTAAACATGCAGGCTAGATAGCCCAATTGATAAAACTCTCGACCGGAAAGTTTGAGATCTCATATTTGATCCACCTCATTTTTTGTTTAACAAATAACTTGTTGGGATTTTTTTACAAGGAAAAATGGAGGTGAGGGTAGAAGGTGGAGGGAGGTCCTGTATAGTAGTTACCATAATAGTGTTAGCCTCCTATCTACCCATCTTCTATATATCCTTCCTAATTTCTTATTTACAAATGGCTTTATAATAAGTTCAAACACATAACCAAAGTCACCATATATCCCCAATGTTTAAAGTCTCATGAATAAATAAGAGTGTTCAAATGGTTAACATAGTAATTATATTTTTTTTTAGAAATATAGTAATTATCAAACTAAATAAGTCTAAATTCTATTTATCATGTAATACAATATCATAACCAAACCGTTCAAACTAATACAACAACCAAATTAACCAAAGTAAAGTTTGATCGGTTAGGTTAATTGGTTAACCAAAATAAACCAAACACACATTATCATCAAGTGAGAAAATTTTCTGGTTAGTGCATCGATTCGCAATTCATATAATGAATAACACATAACAATCAACTCATAATTATATCCAACCCTTAACATAAATACATGTAATAAATACAATTATATTTAATTTGACTCTTGAGTGATTATGCAAAGTATTAAGTATGTGTATATAATATATATTAGATATATAACTAATTACTTAATTGATTAATTTGGTTTGATTGGCCAGGAGTGTCTGAAACAAAACCAAACAAGTTAAAAAAAATTAACCAAACCAAACCAATTATCCATATTAACCAAACCAAATTATCCAAATACTACCAGTTAAAACAATTATCACAGTAACCAATACCTTTAAACACTCCTACTAATAATGGAGACTCGTCTCAACAACTTTGCTTTTTAGGTACGACTTTATAAACAAAAAGGTTCCAGAAAATGTCAAATTTATCTGCATTTTTGTTTCCTTTCTCACTCTCTTGTTGGCAAACGAAATTATTTTGAAATATCATTATATATACCTTATTAGAATGTTGTGTTATAATTTTTACAATCTATACGGTAAGAATATTTAAGCTATTTTAAAATATTAGGGACTAATTCAAGGAAAATTTTCTGGTTCTGACTTTTTTAAATTAGGCGATTGATTTTAAATTAGGTGATTGAAAAAATTAAGTTATTTAATAACATACAGACTTATAAATAACAATTGAACCCGAATCCATGATTATCCAACTTGTTCCACTCCGGTCAAAGCAGGGAAAACTCATTTTTGACGGATTTTGTTAGGGGTGGGAATCCGGTCCCGATTTTCCGGTCAAACCGAAAACTGGGCGGTTAAATCCGTCCCGGTTGTAACCGGAAACTGGTTCGCATCCAATCTGGTCCAGTCTCCGGTCAGCCTGTTAGTCCACCCGGTCCAATCCGGTTAAAACCGGAAAACCGGATTAAAATCTTCAAGCAAGCCCAGCCCACAATCCAATCCCCAGGCCCACACTCAGCAAATCCAGCCCGACCCAGAGCCCAACCCTAAACCTAATCCTACTCCCTCTTGCTCTCACCCACGTTTCCATACCAGCCGCTCACTCCTCCCCTCTAATCTCCCTCGCCGAAAACCCACTTTGGAGACTGGAGTCACCGCAATTGGCCACCACCACCTCCTCCTTCCAGACCACGACCACCACCGCTCACAATCCAATCCTTCTCCTCCACCATCCCGTCCATCCTCCTGAAACACCTTCCATCACTCATCTCCACTCCGCCCCATCCCCAGCCAGCGCCGCCGTCGCCGCAATCTCCTCCGCCATCAGCTCGTGGATGGAGGAAGAGGAGGTGCCGACCACGACTCGTCGCCTTTCCAGCCCCAATGATCTGTAAATCTCCATCTTCCCCTCTCTGCATGCCAAGGCATATTTGGGCGACGGAGACGACGATGCTCACAAAGCAGGCGGAAGACAAATCGACATACCAAGTGGGCAACCTGCTTGCCTCATCAAAGAGAAGAAGAGGCAGATGGAAGAAACAAGAAAGAGAAAGAAGAACAGAAAGGAGAAGAGGTAGGTGGAAGAAAGAGAAGGGATTTATGATTTTCTATAATAAAGAGGAGGAGGCAGAGACCCCTCTTCTCAATTTCATTGTTTTTCTTCTTTTTTTTCAATTTTTTTTCAAACGTCAACGTTTTGGAAGGGCCAATCTGGTTTCCGGTTTAAAATCGGATTGGACCCGGTCCGGTCACGGTTGAAACCGGATGCCATCCAATCCCGTCTTCAGTTATGGTATTTGCAAAAACGGTCTTAAAAAACCGGGTCAATCCGGTCCGGTTTTGACCGGACCGGATCGTTTTCCACCCCTAGATTTTGGGTTATATGTAGGTTTTACTTACTTTTAAAATTGGTGGGTTAGATTTTAACAAAACCCAACTCGCTTTCCACCTAACTTGCACAGATAAAGCAAAATTATATGATTTTGTGTAATCGTAATAATATTAATAATTTAGAGATGTTATTGTTCTTTATGAAAATATATTTTAAAGAAATTTTTTAATAATATTACGATGTAACTGTTTAGAGAAATAATGTGTGACTATGGTATAAACGCATACATACTCATACATTTGTGATTTGTTGGTGCTCGTTTGATTGAATTTTTCTAAAATCCCACAAATTTTTTGACAAATTTTGTGTGAGTGCGGTGGATGATTTGAGTTTAGAGAAAATCACCCCACCCGTTAATCCATTATTATCATCTAGAGAGACTCCCAAAACATTCTAGATATAATCCAGCCTTCTGGACGAATCTGTCTTCAAATGGAGTCTTCTGGATCTAAAGCCCATATAAGAAATGCAAGCCCTGGATCCACTCTCTCAGATGGCCCAATAAGGTTTAGGCGTTATTTGCCGAGACCTATTTCATATACAATCTACAAGATATATAGAAGCAAAACATGGGTTGGAGTTGTCCGATCTCAAATTTCGTGTTTTTTTATAAGGAAAGTGATTCTAGAAAGGTCATTAGTACGATATGGTCCACTTTGCGCCTAGCCAGCATAATGTACATTTGGGTATTATCTCTAAAAGGCCTCGTACTAATTGAAATAGATGGACACTTATATACAATGATGTCTAGCCTTGTATTTTCGATGTGATACTTGGATTATACCCAAACAATCATCCCCTCAAGACAAGAACCACAAATTTCGTGTACTCTCTCAAGGATTATCTTGATCCGGCAAACTCTTTGTATCACTAACTTTTCTCGACACATGAACTTACCATGACAGAAGCCTTACCTATGACCAATGATTGTAATTTATCAATTTCAATGCCTAGATCCATTTGAGAGAAAAAAAAATCTAAGGGTTCGTTTGAAGAATAGGATTTGCGTTATAGGTTCATTAAATCTATAAATTTTGCAGAAAGTTTTTTTTTTGCATCATGGATTTTTTCTTGAGAGATTTCAAATATTTTAAATTTATAAATATATTATCAGAGAGATTATATATCTTGAGTTGTGAGAGTTTTGTTAGTCTTGTTTTACCTTTTTTTATTTATCCCTCTAAATCTCTTCATCAATAAATTCTCAAGTTTTGTTTATTGATTCTTTTGGTTAAATCTAAACATGTCATCTGCTACAAAAGGTAGTATTTAAATTTTTATTGGATGTTAACAATCGAGAGTTGTTTTAGTTGTTTAAATAATACCTAACCAAAAAAAAACTTAATCTACATCACTCTTATAAAAAAAATAGTTATCAAATAATAAAAATTTCAAATAGGAGAATTTAAATTTTCGAATTGCTTACAATTTAGAGATTTAAACTCCAATTCTCCACTTAAAAAAATAATCTGGATTAGTGTAGGCGTTCTCTATATAATTTGTTTGTATAGATCCACGTTAAACAAATGCTTCATAAGAAAGCATTAATATTATTTCTTTCGGTGAACAAAGTTTGAACCGATCTGAATTATTCAACCTTTTCCCTGGCCGATTTGGGTAACTCCCTCGAATCCTACACTACACAACTGAAGCCGGCTTCTAAGACCTCCGGCGGAGTGACTTTATCCAAGCTTTGTGGATCAGGACGGCTATCCTTGTTGTGGATCATAGTAATCAACAAATCTATGATCCGAAGGAAAATGCCAAAATTGCATACGGCCTAAGCTTCCATATACATAGTACATTAGAGGGGGCACTCTCTCAATCAACCAACACAGTCTCCCTGTTCCACATTGATATCTTTCAGTCTTCCTATTCTCACTCTGCTCCAAGTTTGGCAATGGCGAATCAGTTTGTCCTTGTATGGAGCCTATTGCTGACGGCTCTCACGGTCTGCTGTCTCACCTCGGCCTCTGATCCTTCTCCTCTCCAGGACTTCTGCGTCGCAGATTCCAACAGCCAAGGTATTTACAGGACTTTGAATAATTAATTGGCGCAATCTATAGTTTGACTATCATGCGTCTATACTTGAATTTGATTCGATTCGATTGATTCCTCGCAGTCAAAATGAATGGCTTCGCTTGCAAGAATCCTACGACAGTCCGGGCAAACGATTTTTCCTTCAGCGGCCTCCACATTCCTGGGAACACAGCCAATGCCGTTGGTTCTGCTGTCACATCTGCCACGGTGACTCAAATTCCTGGTCTCAATACCTTAGGCATCTCAATGGTGCGCGTCGACTATGCTCCTTGGGGTATCAACCCTCCTCACACTCATCCGCGAGGCACCGAGATTCTCACGGTTATCAAAGGCACTTTGGAAGTTGGATTCGTCACATCGAACCCTGATAATCGACTTATCTCCAAGATTCTTCGGAAGGGTGACGTGTTTGTCTTCCCAATTGGGTTGATTCATTTCCAGCGGAACGTTGGGCATGGAAATGCCGTAGCGATTGCCGCATTGAGCAGCCAGAATCCTGGAGTGATCACTGTTGCTAACTCCGTCTTTGGATCGAAGCCTGACATTTCAGCTGACATTCTTGCTAAGGCGTTTCAGTTGGACGAGAGCATCGTGCGAAAACTGCAATGGACGTTCTAGAGAAATTTCCTCACTGTTTTTTTTAGCATTCTTGTGATGTTGCAATCAATTTGATTAGTTACTGTTCAATTATTCATATTTATTTTGCAATTATTTGTTCCCCCTTCATTGGAGGCCAGAGAACTAATTAGAGTACACAGGGAAAGAAATAGAGAGTAGAATATGAAGCGCCTAACCAACACGAGGATTAAACTCAATGTCGTCGTCCCTGAGAATCATGACTAGTTCGTGCGATGGGTTAGCATGCTCATATATGATGTAGGCATAAATGAGACTAGTTAATTGGTCCACGCTCTGCAGCAGGTCCTTTAAAAGTTATATATATAAATTACCATTATTCATTTTAAGATTATTTTAAGTAGTTTGTTTGAAGGCTTAATTGAATTGAAACCAAAAGAGTGGACATAGAGGCATTATGAAATGATGACAAACTCACTGTATGAAAAGTTTACATAATGCACTACTTCCATTATAGTAAGAGAATTAAAACACGTTACATTCCTTGGAAAAAAACTACATTCATATTTAAGAAAATACAACACATTTCACAGACACAAAATACATCACATAATAGCAGAACCCTGCGTATCTATCTATATCTATACTTAATATTATTGTTATTCAAAAATAACTTCTTGTCACATAAGCACTTGATGAATTCACAAGATGCCAAGGTGGACAATTTTTTTACAAACAAAACTTTATTTATTGATCTATTTATGGAGCTATCTCTCTCTTCTTTTAATACTTCTACTCATTTTCACTAAAACTTAAAATAAGTTACATTTTTTGTGAAACATTTAAACAAACAAACACATAAGTAATAATCTTTTCTTCAATTAACAAACTATAAAGATGAAAATAGAGAGTGACATATATCGTGTTTGTTTAACCCACAAATATCATATTAAATCTCATTAAGTAAATTTTCTATTCATTTTTACTAAAACTTTATAATAAGTTACATTTTGATGAAAAAAAAACAATCACGAATCTGAATAATAATAATTTTTCAATTAAACAAAATTTAAAAGATGGCCTAAGAGAAAATAAGCTTTTGACAATCAATCGATTTTGAAAAATGAACTACATTACTATATTTTTTTTTTTTTTTTTGCTATCAAACACTAACTTCTTCCTAATGCATATACTTATAAAATATAACACGTATAATTTCTATAGAAAAAAGTCTGGAGATAAATTTGACAGAGCAATAATTATTATTTTTTTAAAACACTTATTATTCATTCCAATTAAATGAAAATATATTAATTATGAGCGCAACCTTTTAATTTATCTCTACCATTTTCCCATTTTGATTGTCTCTCTAGAAATAAAATCCAACATTGAAAATCAGAATTTAGATAGAGAAGGAAATGGTAATGCATATGAAGTTTTTTTTTAGGAGAATAGGAGGAGGGAGGTACACAAGGAAACGATTAGATGGCAAAATTTTGAGTAGTTGTAACATGTTTTTGTCTCTTAATGAAAGCAGTTCATCCTATCATTGCGAAGACGAGGTAAACCATACCGAGGATTGTCGACTGCTCCCTCTTCCTCCTTGATCTGAAGCTGGCAACTGCTCACCCTTCTTCCATTATTTTCTTAATTTCTTCCAAATTAAAACAGTTGGATGGTAAATTTCCCCACTCGATGAGCAAATGTATTTATTCTTCATTTTCATGGAGTTTTTTTATGTTCTCTATTACGTAATATACTTTTATGTAAATAGGTAATATATAATTATAAGGGATAATTGGTTGGACTTAGGGCATATCTCTTTTGGTTGAATAATTGATCGTTTTCCTTAAATGCCTATTGCAACCCGATTCCTTAGATGTTGAAATGAAAAGTAGAGTTGTGAGGGTTGTTCATTATATCCCTTGTGTTCATGATTGACATGCTACTAGCTAGCTATAAGATGATGATCTGGTTAGTAATTAGTACGTAGCAAAGGGATTATTAGTAGAAGGGAACATAATTGGGATTTTATAAAAGTCGCGAAGAAGAAACAAAATGATGGTGGTGGTTCCTCAGTTGTGTATTTCGATGTTTTTCAATTTTTACATGTTTGCTATGACATTTTTTGTTTCATTGGGGTGGATTTTTCCTCATTAAATCCCTAACTAAAGCTTGATTTTGACATGATTGTTTTCTTACCAACTACTATTTGGATTGGTGCATAGATTCAGTTCACAAATTATGAATCTGCAAGATAGAATGAGTTGAGTTTTATTGAAGTATGTTCATTTCATTATTTGTCTATGTTGTTATTCGGTAAAAAAGCATCATTTTTTCCTTCATGAGATATGCAGCTCTCTATAAAATATAAATTGTGTTTATATGCAGTTTAGTTTGCTGAAAATATTGCTTTAATAATTAGTGACAACTGATAGTTCTGTTTGTGGTTGGTTTTGCTAGAACATTACCAAGTTAAATTAATTGAGTATGCAGAAGATTGATGGATGTGGATGCTAATTTGTTTCATCATTATTCCAGAATTGCAGGTGTAACTGATAATACACGATATTCGTGGGATCTAGATCGGAATATTCTTTATTCTCATATACCGACATACGAGAAGGGAAAGAAAATGGAAAGCTCTTCGCTTTATTCTTTTTATTAATGGAAGCATATTTTCTTATTCTAACTTCTTTGTTTGTGGCCTTAAATTTTTTAACTTCTTTATCACTTTTTTTAGTTCAATACAAATTCTAAATCAATAAAGAACGGTCTACAAATAGCTCAGTTAATACAATTAATTTTTTCATAAATAAAAAGGTAAGTACGAAATATTACCTAAAATAAGGTAAGTGAGATTTACAATTCCATGTATATTAGATCAACAAACATAAATAATAATATTTGGAATACTATAACGAATTATAAAATAACCAAATATAATGCACCGCCAAATGGGCGGGTAAAAAACTAGTGAATTTATATGAAGTAATAAAATAGGTAGATTGTCATTCATGAATGTTCAAGGAATCAAAATTTGTTTGTCTGACATAATGTTATTTACACCGTTCTTTTACATAAACTATGAGCACTTCTACTATGCTATATAATATTGGTGTTTTAATATACAACTTGAAGTTGTATCATAACATTAAAGATATAAGTTTAGGTTGTACCATAAAAGAATTTGTATTGGTACAACTTTACACCTTGAAGTTGTACCATCACATAAAGATACAAGTTCAAATTATACCATAAAAGAATTTGTACAAAAAGTATAGGTACAATTTGAAGTTGTACCATAACTTAAAGGTACAATTTCAAACTGTACCATAAAGAAAAAAACTTATAGCACCAATACTATATAACATTGTAAAATTCCTCCATAAACTGTTTCATTCTAATTAACCGTACAAATTCTTAAAATCACATTCTGAATATATAAAAGTTATCAGAATTTATGAATCTATTTATCCTGCCCACCTTAATTAGGAAAAGGCTACAAAGTATATAAGATCAAGCACAAAGAGATCATAGGAAGATGTAAACGAATTTTATTTCGTTGGATGATTTGTACAAAATAGGTTAACCTAATTTTGTATCTTTATAGCAAAAAAGAGTTAATTGCATGGTTGGTCACTGAGATTACAAAAAACGTACTCTCCGTCTAACTCCGTTAACTTTGGCTGATGTGGCAGTCAACTCTCAAAGTTAACCATTAACTTAGTGACGTGGCAACTAAAAACTTATTAAAAAATAAAAAAAATAACTTTTATATTTTCCACCTCATTTTTTTCCCGATAAGTTGCACACAAGCTACCGTAGGCTGTTTATTCCGCAAGGAATTCCACACAACTGTAATCTTCTACCTCTCTAACAATTTACCCTTCCAGGACACTTCACCACTTTCCTCCACCATCAGCCTGTATTGAAACCAAGATCGAATTTTAAGCACCTTCTTCCCAATCCAAGGTCCACTTTGTGTCTCTTTCAAATCCCAGAAGCATTTCCTTTTGATTTTATACTTATAAGCCCAAGCAACCCAGAATGAGCTACCCTGCATTAAAAGGAGCCAAAGTAGCCTCCCTGCAGATGCAACATTCCAGACAGTAAGGTCTTTGAGACCTAATCCACCCTCCTTTTTGAGGATGTCGAGTAAATTCCAATCCACCTTCGCCTTACCAGATTCATTACCATGCCACAGAAAGTCAGAGCAGAGTTTCTGAACTTGTTTTATAACACACTTAGGCAGAATAAACATACCAAGCCAATACTGCAGAACTGGGTAAATGACTGAGGAAATAAGTTCTAGTCTTCCAGCATAGGTGAGCTTCCCAGACCTCCAAAAACGGAGTTTACTAACAATTCTATCAATCAGTAGATCACATTCTCTCACAGAAAGTTTGTCAGCAACCAAAGGGACCTCATTATTACATTCATTAAAAAATAAAAAAAAAAAAAAACTAATTTCTTTTCTACAAACCCCCCTATACCCTATCGACCCAACCTCCATCCCCGCGGAATTCAACCACCGAAGCAACACTCCCCACCACCACCACCCGACTCCGACTCCTGCCCCATCCCTGTCCCCGGCGCCGGCTTCAATCCCTCCTCCCACTCATCCGCGCCGCCTGTGTCGGCGACATCCATTCCAACGACAGTCAACTCTCAAAGGCTGGTCCTCCAATTCATCGGCGGCGGCGGGTCCGAGCTGCAAGTGAAACAGAGGTAGAAGAGTTGTTTGAGATGGTGGACATTAGGAATAGGGAAGGACATTAGAGGGAAGATTTTCACAGAAGAGAATTACTCGTTTGAGCCTCCTCGAATTCCCAATGCCATGCGAAAATGATGAAAGATGAAATTGGTAAATTATTGGTTTACCAGAATTTATAATAGATGGATAACAGCTCATGGTCCAACTACATTGCGAATTTACAGCAGATGGGGGAGGAGACGGGGCGAGGATTGGAGAACGGGCTATGGCAGTGAATCTCTGAGTTGTTGGTGATATCGTAGTCGCGAAGAGTGCGGTGGTCTTG